TGTAATGAGTACATGAATGAAAGAATAAACAAACAAATAAATAAATTCAGAGACATGCCCAAGATCATACATTAGTAACTTTAGAAACCAGTACTCGAAACTACATCTCCTGACTTCAGCTAAGTACTCCTGTGTGAGAGAAGAACATACACAAAAAGAGCTTGAAAAACATAAGCAGGTGTCATAGATCAGCTTCCAAATGACTGGTGGATGCCCATCTAGGGAAAACACAATGGGCATTCTAACACCAGCAACACAAAGGAATTTTAGTTTTTCCACAGTGTCTTTGGATCACTCACCTCCTCGGAATGATGATGACCCTAGTAATGCCTTCTGTGAAGGCTCTTCACATCCCACTAGCCCCTTAGTTCCATTTCATTTCACAAGGCCTCTTTGTTTCACAGTCAAGGTGTACAAAGACCTTTGAACCAGAATTTGACCCATCAGACAGTACTAAGTGGTGTGCAATGGATTAATGAGTGAAGAATTCTCTCATTTATATGTGAGGGACAAGAAAGGGAGACAAAATGTCATTATTTGGAGGCATTCTGGTCCATGATGCCTGGAGAGAACTGAGTGTTTAAAATCCACTTCTAAGCAAATTTCCCTTCTAAGTGTTACTCTAGTTATCAGTCATGAAAGATTACTCTATAGGGGGCCTCTCACACCCACGCAGCCTTTTGCAACCCGGGTTCCTTATCAGAACCATAAAACATAGAAATGATTCAAGTGACTATTTCCTCATGTCTCTCTAGGATGGTACGTAATCAGGACCACCCTAGATGCATAAGACAGAAGGTAATGCATTATATATAGTAGAGACCTTCGGCCATGAGAGTTTAATTCTCTCAGGAACCCCTGGTAGAGAGAAGCACTAGAGTGATCCAATATACTTACAAGCTATGAACAAGTCACAATTGTTCTTAGTAGCTACACATACGCACACGAACATATATATGTGTGTGTATGAATATATACATATGTATGAGTGTATATATATTTATTTAATTCAAATAAAGTCCACTTTTTATAAGGTCTTAATATTAACAGCGGTTGCATTATTTCCAAAATTTGGTCCAAGAGAAACATTCATTTGTATCCCTGTGATGAAAGTACATTATTTTTTTCTATTTGTAAAACGTAACAGGAAGCTCAGCCAATCTTTTGTAGATATGCAAATTATAACTTAAACAAAAACAGAGTGCTGGTATGTTGTTTGTCAAGAATATTAAGTGGATTTTTTAGGCAACTTAGACCAAAATGTCTTCCTCTGAAGAATTCAGGAAGTTATTTCCAACTTTACAGTTAATCAAAACCTTGTTTCAGAGCATCTCCCTCTTAGATATCTGGAAGGACTTGGCAAAGAAAAAATTGCATTGCATATTCTGCCAACTGATAGTTGTTTCTCCCCCCACCCCTTACTCACATTGATTGATTTAAATCCCTTGTTATAAATAAAAGTCAGTGATTTGTCTCGCATCATTTCATTTTTGTTGCTAGTTTACAATTGACAGATCAGTATACCGTTGGTAAAGTAGACCCGAAGAAAAAAATTAGTATTTATAGATTGCCTGCTAGGAGCTAGGCATGGTGCCAGGTACTTTTCACATATAATCTCATTGAATCCCCATGAGATAAGTAGTTTTATCACTTCGCTTTTGAAGATTCAGAAAGTGAGGCTCAGATTGACACAGCCATTGGCAGAACTGAGATTCAGACCTATTCCCACAGCTCAAATGTTCGGGATTGTTCAAGGAATCAACGCATCCTCCAAAGATGACTGAAAAATAATGACGACAATTTTACTTATTTTTCAGATTTCTATCCCTTATTAGGAGGCTGGGTGTTGCAAGTGGTTTTTGATCGGCTGCTAACCGAAAGGTTGACAATTTGAACCCACCCAGTGGTTCCACAGAGGAAAGGCCCGGTGATCTGCTTTTACAAAGATTACCTCCAAGAAAACCCTATGAAGCAGTTCTGTTTTGTAATACATGGGGTCGCCCTGAGTCAGGGACTGACTCGCCAGCAGTTAACTACAACAACATTTGTCAGCAGACAAACTCTCTGCCAAAATATGATCACTTTTAACTTGCCCTCACAAAAGATCGAAAGAAACAGGGATCGGTAAGATAAAGAAATTAAAATTCATGAGTGATACTGTAAACTTGACCTGCTTGCCATAACCGATAGATGTACAGTATTCCCAAAAGCTGTTACACCATGTATGACAAGAAAGAAGGTCAAAAACTCAGAAGACTGGTATACCAGCGTCCTTAGAATCAGTGTTGGAGGAAACAAGTATATAGAATATAGTCAGATGAGTTAATTATGTTCTTTCATTCTCAGATTAAGGTGTGTACATCGGAATCATTTTCATTCCTTTATTCATTTGAAAATTTCACTTTTCTTGTTGGTCTCCAATTAGGTTCCCAGGAATTAAAAAATATGGGCTCATGTCTCACCTGGCCTAAATGTCTGGGGTTCACCGTTGTACATTGTACATAGTTCAAACCCACTGTCTTCTCTATTGCTGGCATGGAGCCTCGGGAGAGCTACTATTAGAAAAGTAACTAAATCACAAGCATTTTCTTTTGTCCAGAAGCACAATGCAAGGGCATGTTAAGAATAGGAGAAAATCGTTCTGTTAAGCCTCTTTCAACAAAGCGTTAATATTTATTAACTTGCACTTTACTGTAGGATGAACGTTTTATGATAAACAATGAGTAACAACAGAATGGAAACTTCAACCACAAGCTATCGTCTCTTTCAGTGTAAAGGGATCAGGATGGGGCTAGCAAAGCCACTGTCTTGGTATTTGGGGCTCTGATTCACTCATCTAGACAAAGGAATGATTGAATACTGCTTCATGTGATTACTAGGAAGAATAATCAAAAAGTTACGGGCCTCCTTTATCAATAAATGCCAACTAAAATGAAGCTATGAATTAATGTTATATTAATGCTGCTTTAACAAATTGAGTATAAATAGAGCTGAAGGATATTTCAAAAGCTTGGCATTATTTCTGCATTTTAAACTTAGATTAAATCAATTCCCAAACAATTCAGAAAAGAGGTTTTATTTTTTTTTTAGTTTTGAACAAAAGCATATCTGTCTTGAGTTTTTTCTATTCGTTCATTCATTATTTATTGAGTGTATTCTATTTGCCAAGCACATGGAAATGTGGGGGTTTTGAAATTAGCATCAGGATCTAAAAAATGACTTTCATGAGATTTTTACTATTGAAGACTTTTGGGCCTTCCTTACATAACTTTGTAATTCCCTTAACAAATTAATCTTATTACAGCCTTTCATGGTGAGTTATTACATACTGAAAATGAACGAGAATATCCCAACTCAATAATTAATGTATACATAACACAAAGGCACAGAAATAAAGATTCAGTAATGTTCCATTTCTGTCTTATGATGATTGTTATGATCCAGTACCATGATAGCTATACTGGAACCATGTAACAATGAGCCTGTTAAATGTTCCTTTTTCATAGTCCTGAGTGAAGTTACTAGTACAGTATTTCAGGAGGAGATTTCTAACATGTCATCTTATGTTCCCATTAGGTCTGATCCATATGGGAAAGTGGAATAAGCATAGATTTTGGCATCGGGCTGACCTGGGTGTAAATTCGGGTTCTGCCTGCTGCAAGCTCTTGGAAAACTTTGTCTCTCAGTTGCTCAGTTTCTTAATACACAAAATGAACATAACAGCATCTAGCTTACAGGATTGTTGCAAGGAATATAGACAATATATATAAAGCAACTCGCCCACAATAGATATTACCTTTCTTTTTATATCAAAAATCTGATACTTTTTATATCAAAAATCTAAAAGACTACACGGAAAATAGTAGTGTAATTCACCATGAAATTAAAACAACAGCAACAAAGCAAGAAAAAAGTAGAGTAAGACAGAGATGAACATTTTGGGCCTGATTCATATTCATTTCACGAGACATTTATTTTGCATTCAAGATTTGCACCTAAATAAAGTGTCTAGTAAAAGCAGTGTTGCTTTTAAATTACAGACCTTCTGATTCCTGAGGAGGCTTAACAGAAAAGATCACACCCCACCCCTTTCATTCTCCAGAATCATGATTGTCCTTCTGTGCCTATTAAAGCCTGGAAGGAGCCCTGGTGGCACAATGATTGAGCACTGGGCTGCCAACAGAAATGTTGGCGGTTCGAACTCACCCGGCAGCCCCTCAGGAGAAAAACCTAGTCATCAGCTTCAGACCCTCAGGAGAAAAACCTAGTCATCAGCTTCCATAAAGATTACAGCCTAGAAAACTCTATGGGGCATTTCTACTCTGTTACGTGGGGTTGCTGTGAGTCAAAAAGAGACTGGACGGCACTTAACTACAACAACAAATGAAAGGAATGACATGGTAGAGAAGGGAAAGAAAGAAACAAAATACCTGAACGGAAAAGTTATTTTTGCTTTCGTAGCAAATAAAAGATCAACTCTAAAATGAAACATTCACGGCATGACAGCTTTTGCGTACAACAAAAAGACAATTCGGTTTCTGTATAAATTTATTAAATAATAATTTACTTACTGCCATCGAGTCGATTCCAATTCATGGCGACCCCATGTGTTACAGACTAGAACTGCAGAAGAAAAGCAGATCATCAGCCACTGGGTTGCGTTCTATCTGCCAACTTTTCGGTTAACAGTGTGACGTGAACCATTTGCGCCACCCAAAAAAACCAAACCCATTGCCACTGAGTCGATTCTGACTCACAGTGACGCACAGGAACCTAATAAGTAAACAAATAATCCTTTAAGCTTGGTCTTGCCTCAAATGGAACTTTTAATTACCGTAAGTCTCACTTCCTCCAAAAGGAATATTGGGAAGAAAATGTAGGCTGTACTTTTACTGTACCAGAGTATTGATTTTTCCTCTCTCTCTGCTAGATCTGGTTTTCCTTTTCATATTTTGCTTTCTTTTCCCTGACTTATGCCTCTTCCTTTTGAAATCCTGCAGGTTGTCCGGCCATACCAGACCATGTCCAATCCCATCAGCAAGCTCACTGTTCTCAACAGCATGCATTCCCATTTCATTCTGGCTGACAACGGGACAACTGGAAAATATGGAGCAGAGGTGAAACTTCGGAGACAATTAGAAAAGCATATTTCACTCCAGAAGATAAATACAAGTAAGTAGGCATGTTCCCACTACCATGCCGCATAGGAAACAATGTTAAGAGTGAATCACTTCAAGTACACCATGTAGCAGTATTATGAAAACTTGAGCAAGTTCAAATAGGAATCATTATTTCTACCAGGCCAGCGCTTAGAGATATCATCCAGAGGAAGAGGATTAGAGGTGTAAAAACTGATCACGCAATTAGTGGACTAGAGCTCATTTTTCATGCACGAGAAATTCAATCCCATCTGGGGTTTGTGACTATAGATACGCTTTTTCTCAAAACTTTTCTTACACCCTTTACACAGTAATCTGAGGAGGAAAGGCACCCTAGAGATATCGTGTCTATTTATTAAACTTGTTTTGGTGGCTAAAAATGAAAAAAAAGAAAAAACCCTCAAGTTTTGGTCTTAGCCCAGATCTGGCTGTGCTAAAACATTTCAGAGCAACTAAATATTCTCTAAGCTAAAGCATCATCTTGATAAAGCTTTAACTCTAACTCTGTCTCTTAATTTGACGAAAGTAATTGCTCACTGTGTGTCTACTTGTGTGTATTTAGATGTATGTGTTTATTTATGAATACCACAGTCTTAGTTACCTAGTGTTGCCATAACAGAAATACCACAAGTGGATGGTTTTAAAGAACAGAAATTTATTTTCTCACAGTTCTGGAGGATAACATTTCAAATCCGGGTCTCAGCCATGTAGATTACCTCTGTGAGCCTGTCTGCTAGTTTCTGGTGTCTGTCGGTGACCTTTGGTATTTCTTTGCTTGTAGACAGGGCCTCCCATGACTTCTGTCTTCTTCCTTGTTTTTGTGTCTCTGTGTTTCTTCTAGTCTTTTTATAACTCAGAAATGATTAGGTTTAGAACACACCCTACACTGGTATGACCTCAACTGATTGATTATGTCACATTAGATTGCATTATAGAAGGTGATTATATTACATTACATGTAATGTGATTATCTTACATTACATGTAAAGTAATTACATTAGGATACATTATGGAAGGGAATGTGATCTATCCAAGGTCAACCATTGTAATCTTAGGAGTACTCCAGGACAGCAACTAGACTCATGTTTGGTCAAACCACTGGGAACTGTAGCCTAGCCAAGTTGATACATAAAATTAACCATCACAACCATATAATACGTATCTGATGGTTACACTAAAATTATCTCTTAAGCACCTACGTGCTCTGTGCTGTGTTTATTATGTGTGCATTTGTTTTAACTATAAAAAGTTAGCAAAGTAAAAGCAGTAATGTCTCCCCAAGTCACTAAGTGCCTTTCATTTAAATGCCATAGAGGTATTAAAACAATCTACCATTTCTCCTCCCTAGGTAAAGGTTAAATTTGCTTTCACAAAGTAATGTGAAGGCTTCAAGCAGGCTCAAATTTTGTGGTAATTGTATGTCCCGTCAGGGAAACTCTGATCTAATTGACTGAATTTCCGAAGCCTGCAATTCCAAAAAACAACAAAAGATTCTCTTTGGTAAGAGAAGTTTTCAAAAGGTTAATTTTCCAAAGGTGTAATTTGATTCAACTTGTCCTAATGGCTTATTATCTTCTCTAGTCTGTCTGCATCTGTCCCAAATGCTTGTTGTAGCCACCTTTTCTTCAGAACTGTGACGTTAGACCTATCAGATAATGACTTCTGTTTTTCATACTTGCATTTGTGGTTCCATCTTTTAGAAAAGTCTAACGTTTTAAGCAGTCAGCTTTCATAGCTTCATCTTTTTCACAAGGAAGTCTAGAATAATACATTTTGATGTAGGCCTGCAGTCAGAATTGAATGAGGAAACTCCCATCTATCTAAGAATCCCCAAGTGCCTTTTGAAAGAGAAAACACAAATTATGCTTAGGTGAACATCATCTGAAAAAAAATAGAAAAGGAAGGTACACAGTGATCTAGAAGCCAGCAAAGGTCAAATTTAAGAAAGCACTATTATCAGTGGGTGGTAGGTTTTGCTGTAAATACTAACACTGAATTCAATTATAACATTTAACAGAACAGGCAAATGTTATATAATTAGAATCATATATTTAGGTTTTTACGGTTTATAGAATTACTTTTCTTCGTACCATCAGGTTCAGAATGAGAGCTTAAATAGCAGTGAGCTGACAGCTAAAGTGAATGACAGCAGGGTAGACAAGGACCAAGTTCAAGTTAGTGCTTGGTAATGGGAACATATCTGTCCAGACAGGCAAGGGATGTCATTGTGCCTGGCCCTCGTGGCAGCTGAGCTGGATAGTCAAGTAGTGGTGGGGGGCAGAGCTAGGTATGGCTGTGTGAGTTAGGCACCCAGCTAAGCGGGGGTAAGTGGAAGTTAAAACGCAGCCAGGAGTCTGTTAGCCAAGCCCTGTACCTTATAGACTGCCCAAAGGAAAAGAGTGTCTTGTTCTAACTGGTCCTCCAGACAAAAACACGCTTTTGCAATTTATGTGCCTGGAGGGGTGCCTTTCTCCAGTGCTCACTCAGGGGCTGTATGTGGGGGGCCCTGCCAGGGAGGCTCATGGACAGGGGCCTGGCTTCAGTGAGGAGCAGAGCCCAGCAGCATGGAGGTGAAGAGCAGGCCATAGGCAGAGGGTCCAGACGACAAGGATGCTAGACAGGCCAACCTCAGAATCAGATGCTCATCCTTCGGTAGATCATCAGCACAACTCAATCTCACTCATGGAGGCACTGGGCCCTGGCTACATTATCAAGGCAGGTATTGGCACATGGGTACACTAGTAAGTGGTAGACCAGTCAGGGGTTTGGGTACAATGTAGGGAAGAGGCACGGACCCAGTTACCAAAGGCAAGCATGAGGTCAGAGAAGCTCCTGAAATGTTCCTGGTCATCGAACAGGATTAGGCCTTGAGTTTGGGGTAGGGGCTAAGCTCACAGAGTGGAATGGAGTGTGGACAGAGGGAGCCAAATGTTCATTGCAACCAACATAATTTATAAACATAATTTTCCCCTTGCTTTAGGGACTGTATTTGAGGCTTGCTGGAAGCCCACAGGCTTCCATTTAGTGAATACAATTGAATGGTAAGAGGAGGGGTAAAGAAACCCAGCAGAGACCCATGAGGTCGCAGTAAGTTAAAAGAGTAGGAAATTTGCCTGTAAGCTGAAGCGAACAATGTCATGAGTTAACTCCTGTGAGAGTTCTTACCCTGAACCTAATAGTGGTAGGGGTGGTCAGCTCATCCCAGCTTGCCTGGAACTTGCCTAGGTTTAGCACTGAAAGTCCTGTGTCCCTGGACCCCTTCAGTCCCAGGGAAGATGGGATGGTGGATCATCCTACAAGTGAGTCACCCACAAATCATGAGGTCTGCTTCTCTTGTTACTGTACTCACACAACACACCAGAAAGGGACCAGTGAGCTCCTCAGGACGTGAGAAGTGACCCAGGCTCATTGAAGTAGAGCAGGACCTTGGGGCCTACCTTCAGGCAGCAGAGAAGAGTGCCCATTGAAAGCACAGCATAGCATGAAACAGCAGGAGTAAGAATACAAATCTTTAATGTAATCCCCACTCAGTACACTTTAGAACAGCAATTCCCCTTGCTAATCTGGACGCTACTGTTTTCTTTATATCATAATTAGTAGTAATATAGTTCTTCCTACTAAAAATAATTTTTTATTCTGTAAGTCAATTCTGAAATTTCCACTTACTTTTTCATTTCCTTTTTCAATAGTTTAGAAAATCTAAAATACAACAGTGGAACTCAATTGGTCTCCTGAAATAGATGCTATACTAAAAATATTGTTCACCACCTGACTGTTATACGTAGCATGGCCCCAGGGGACGTGTGAACGCACTTAGCATTTTACTCTTTAAAGTGCCATTCATCTTCATCACTTACGGGTGACGTGCATACCATAGTCACCTATCAATAGGTTGATTTTTTTTACATACATGGCATAATCTTCTGAAGAATATTTTACTTAGATGTTAAGTGAATTCTGCTCAGGAGGTCTATAAACCCTTTCTTATCAACATGCCAATTAATAAGAACATATTGCAATCGTCAAGTATTTTACATATTTCTCAGCATTCTGGCATCCATTACCTCATTTTTTTCCCCTCCTTCGACACACCCTACTGTCAACAGTCAGAACAATAGGATTGTCATTTATTACTAAATGCCTTTGTTTTGAAAGGAGAATTCTTTCAGGCTTGAGCAGTTACCTACTTTATCACGAACACTCTAACATCTGCAATTTTCTAAACTTCAACATGCAAGGCCTCAAAATTTTAATCGTTCCTTCAGTAAACAAATACTTATCAGACCCTTATTGTGTGCCAGTCATGGTTAAGGTTCTAGGAAAGCAGCAGTAAACAATCTGTTGCGCTTAAGCCAAGAGAGGGAAACAGAGAATAAATAAGTAAACAAGTAGGTGTATGATGTCTAGAAGTTAAAAGTGTTATTAAAAATAAAGCAGAGTAAGCTATATGTATGTGTACATGTGAGCATGCATGAGCATGTGTTGGGAGAGTATTTTAGATTAGGCGTCAGGAATGGCCTCTCTGAGGAGTGACATTTAAACAGAAGATGGAAGAGTCAGCTCTGGAAAGAGCATTCTAGGGAGAGAGAAAGGATGGGCAAAAGTCCCAGGATGTTCAGTGAAGAACAATATTTTTGTGAAAAGTTGGATTTTATTCTAACAGAGTTTTGATCTGGCAAGTTTCAGGCTATCTCTTATGGTTTAAAAAAATCACTCTGGCTGTTGTGTGTAGAGATTAGACTGAGGTGGTTGTTGTTGAGTCAGCTCTGACTGATAGCCACCCCACATATAACAGAACGAAACATTGCTCGGTCCTGTACTATCTTCACAATCGTTGGTATGCTTGAGCTCATTGTTGTGGCCACTGTGTATTTTGAGTGCCTTCCAACCTAGGAGCTCACCTTCCAGCACTGCATAGAATAATATTTTATTGTGATCCACAGGGTTTTAATTTGCTAATTTTTGGAAGTAGATTACCAGCCTTTCTTCTTATTCTGTCTTAATCTGGAAGCT